CTCAGGAATTCTGGGAGTTGAAGTCCATAAGTGATAAAAGAGCCAAGTTTCCCTACCCCTGCCTTAGGACATTGTGGGAGCTTCATCCCTGGAAGCTTTCAAGAAGAGATTGGACTGCCATCGGTCAGAAATGATGTAGGGTTTCCTGCTTGGGCAGAGGGGGGTTGGACTAGATGACCCACAAGGTCCCTTCCAACTCTGTTATTCTGTTCCTTCAATTGGCTAATCTAGCCATACTTAGTTCCCTCCATCATTCATCGTACGGCTTAATAAAAATATATTACGGAAGGCATCTTGCCCAGCGTTCTTCACCCTAATGTTTATGCTGGATCCAAGCCTTCCCGGGATGCTTGTGAAAACTTTTAACGTGGGTCTCCAACAAATTTGGAAAAGTTTAATCTGGACAGTGACTCTTCTTCCTCCCCGCCTCCCCGTCACCGGCTCCCCATTTTGGGGGAAGAGAGAGAGAAAGTTCTAGATGAACTTTCAAAGCCGACGGGTAAACAAGCATCTGGAAGCACCATTAGGCAACAGTGCCAAAATAAGTTAGAAGAGCATGTTTGATGAGTCACCAGTTCTCGGGTGACTCGGCAGCTGAGCTCGTCCCAGATTGTCCATCAGCCTTCTAAAATTCCCCTTCCTTCCCAGCGAATCCACAAGCAGTGTGAGTTTCAACATATTATGCATATTTTCTTTCTTTCTTTCTTTCTTTCTTTCTTTCTTTCTTTCTTTCTTTCTTTCTTTCTTTCTTTCTTTCTTTCTCTTTCTCTCTCCCTTTCTTTCTTTCTTTCTTTCTTTCTTTCTTTCTTTCTTTCTTTCTTTTGGATTTTATTCATAAACATTCTTGAATACAGCATTTTGTCCGGATAAAAAGAAGGAAACATAGCTAATACTGTAAAAAATATTGTCCATTTATGTTGTATATACAAAATAAAACTAATAGAAGAAAACCATCAAATAATCTATATATATATATAAAAGCGAAATACCAGTCATGCATCATCACAAAATCTCCAGGACCCTAAAGTCTACAAACTTGGAATTTGGCACATTATGTTCCTCTTAGCTTCTAGGTGCTCGCTAAGAAAGGATTTTTCGAAATGACCATCAGAGCATTTAAATATTTCCTATATTATTATTATTAACACGATCTGATGCTAAGGAGTTCTACTCCCCCTCCTCACCTGAAAAAAAGAAACCTGTTCCAACTGCAAAACACAAGCAGGGGAGAGGAGTTTCACTTTCAGTTTCACAGCACCAAACAGCTTTAGTACAGAACAGTTAATCTAAGCCAGACCCTGGCTCCTTGCTTTCTTCTTCGTGCTCATACAGCAAATACTGCTTCAGTTTCCAAACAGCTCTCAACTCTCTCACACACTGACAGGACGCTAGCCAGATGAATACTGACAGATGCTAGTAGGCAGAGGAACAATTTTTCCCCTTATCTTCCTCCCCCAAAACTTAGCCCCACCACATAGTTTCGTAGCGAAGCACAGGTATAGAGCTAGTAAATTAATAAAACAATAGTTTTATTGCCTATACTGTAATTCTGATTGTTTTAATTAAATTCATCCTTTAGTATCGTAGTTTGGGCTTAGTCATTTTCCTCCCCGTCCCCATAGATTTACAAACAAATGTTTGTTTTGTATTATTCTAAACATTTGATGTATTATTCTTAAATATTTGATGGGAATGGCTGTGATTTGGATGGTTTTTACGTTAGTTTATGCTGGTGGGGGGCCTATGGCCCAAATAAAGATTTAGTTAAGGGGTGATACGATAGCAGTCGTCCAATATTTGAAGGTTTCTCAAATCTATTCTCCAAAGCACTTGAGGGAAGACAAGTAGTTAATCATTAAAGAAAGATTCTAGCTTGAACTAAGGAAGAATTTATTGACAATGACAACAATTAATCAGTAGGACAGCTTCCTTCCGAAAGTTATGGGCTCTCCATCACTGGAGATTTTCAAGAAGACACCAGACAACCATTTGTCCAGAATAATATAAGGTCCAAGTCCTCCTCAATCCCTTCCAACCCTGTTGTTCTCCCTTCTATCTTCATGTTCTAGGTTCTGTTTCTCTCAAGGCTCCACAGAATATGAAAGCCAAGTCCCTACGAGAAGAGGGTCTGGTTTGGTGTGAAGTAGGTCAACGTCCGTCTTGCATCACGAGCTCATTGGCTGCTTAAATTTAGATCCTCAACAGAGGAGGCCAACTCCATTCCTGCCCGGTGACCAAGAGAAAAGCTAGCAAGTTCCTTCAATGAGAGGAAGATCTCAAATTTAGCTGCCCACCCTGCAAATATTTGCTCACCGGAAGCACCTTGATTAGTCAATGGGGCTCAGTGATTCAGCTGTGGATTAACAGAACCAACTGAACTAAACCGAAGGAGGACAAGAAGCAACAAGATGGAAACTCATCAAGGAGAGAGGCAACCTAAAACTAAGGAAAAATTTCCTGACTGTTAGAAGAATTAATCAGTGGAACAGATTGCCACCAGAAGTTGTAAATGGAAGTTTTAAGAAGCACTGGAAGTTTTTAAGAAGAGATTGGATAACCATTTGTCTGAAGCGGTGTAGGGCTTCCTGCCTAAGCAGTGGGTTGGACTAGAAGACCTCCGAGGTCCCTTCCACCTCTCTTATTCTAATTCAAGTCTTTTATGTCTTGAATTGGAAAGATGGGGAAGAGGTTGTGTGATAAGGATGAGCGGGGTGTGGGGGAAGGGAAGCTTGCATTTCAGATACATTCCTTGGCTAGAACGTCAGTAAATGAATTTGGTGAGTCGCTGGGACATACCCAGATTGAAACCCAAGGATCCTATTTCTTTGAAGCCCTGGCAGAGGCAGGGAACTGTGTAACTGGCACCCTGAAAGAGTAGGAGCGGAGGCATCCTGCTTTTGACATTGGTATTTGAGGATTAAACTTGATCTTTGGGTTGGGGTTTAAACGGGGGGGGGGGGAATTCTGGGAGTTGGGAAGTTCCCTTGTCTCAAACTTGTCACGGCTGAGAAAGACCGCTCTGATTTCATATGTGAAAAGGAAGGTTTTTTTTTTTTTAAAAAAAAGCATCCATGGCTGAACTCAAGAGCCTAGTAAGGAAGTGATCTTAAAACTCAGAAATACTTACTGGATTTTCTTGGTGAAATTCTTGGAAACGATTCCTCCTTCTGCTTGTTGTTCTTCATGTTTACCTGGTGAAAGAAAGAAAAAAGTTAGAAAGAAAGGAAGTAAGAAAGAAAGAAAGAAAGAAAGAAAGAAAGAAAGAAAGAAAGAAAGAAAGAGGAAGGAAGGAAGAGTGAGGTGAGTTGGGCTGAGAGAGAGGAACTGGCCCAAATCACCCAGCTGATTTTCATACCTAAGGTGGGACTAGAACTCCCAATCTCCTGGTGATCAACCCAAAGTCACCCAGCCAGCTTTCATACCTAA